TAATAATTTGATCTAAGTAAGAAATGTTTTTTCTTCCCGATCTGTAAAAATTTCTTACGTAATGAAAAAAAATGAACATATTTTTGAAATCTGCGTAGCTGAATTCTAGAATATCCGATATTAAAACCAAAACAACTTTAATGAAGTTTAAATTCGCAGGCCTATGTTATTAGTGATAGAAAGAAGCCAAGTTTAGCAGTGGTACAAAGACTATGAATTCAGGACCAAGCAAGGATACACCGGAACGTCTTTTGCTTCTACGAAAACAAACTTTACAAGCTGAAAACAGCACTTGTCCAAGAGTAATAACTGGACCAAGACATTCACAACTGTTACGAACATGGGTTATATGATGAGAATTCAAGCATCAAAAAGATTAAGTACACTTAATCACATCGTCAAAATTTATCTCCGATAGTACACTATCAGAAATGCAACAACACAAGAGTAAGTTTCAATATTATTTTCTACACTGCGATAACACTGCAACAGTACGAACAGCCTATAACGTTACGGATTATTTTATTATGTAGTAAAATATATCATTCTCTTTTCAGCCTTGCTGTTCTGTTGGACTTAATTGGGCATATCTCTATGAAGCATGCTATTATAGAGGTTGAGTACCTTATATTAAAACAGTTCTTTGTTTGTTTTAGAGCAATGTCGCATTGGGCTATCCACTGTGTTCACCGCGTGTAATCAAACCCCGGATTTTAACGTTGTAAGTCCGTAAACTTACCGCTGGCCCACCTGGAGGCATATTAAAACGATTTTAAAGCACTTCGTTACAGTCCATGTAGCAACATTCGGTTATGCGCTGTCTGATGACTCTGCTTCTTGACAATAGCCCTGCAGTTTAGTTTCAATTGCAAAAGACTGTCTTGTTAAGCGTTAATGTCCAAAGCGCCCCACTCCTTTCTGATTGCTTTCCATAATCCATATATTGCAAGAGGATGACGGCTTCCCAAAACGTCTTTCAATGGGCTATTGTCACAAAAATCTATAGGCTGTGCTCCTGGTAACTTGACCGGTATGTTTTCGTATGGAACACCATGAATACCAGTTTCATTCTCCAGCTGTTTTAAGTATGCAATGAATGAATGAATGTGTCGTGGAAGTAGCTTGTGTCGCAATTCCAGTTTATGTTATTGGTCTTAGCGCAAAGCACCGCAATGAGCAGACTGTGTCCTGTCCTGAAGAATCTAATCCAGGACTTTTATTTTTAGTATCGTAAGTCCGCGAAGTTATCGTTGACCCACCGGGGGGGGGGGCAATTTACCAGAGGGAAATCCTTCTTGATTCTGTTGCATCTTTTGCCACTGAACTTTGTGTTCGTGGAGTGTTACTAAACATCACATTTTGCTTACCGTGGCCTAGGTACAACTGAATGGTCCTGGTGTCCCAAGTTGATCTATGATAAATTGTTTTCCAAAATATCATTAAGTACAAGGGATAACACTGTCTTGGAAGTTTTAAATCTCCGATCTGAACACGTTTTTTATGACCCGAATGTATGAATATTTTGTCGGGAAGGGTTGTTACACAACATTCTAAAAGCGAGCAATTTTCGGTAGCATTACATTACCTACGAAACACCAAGCAATATCAAAATATAGCACTTATACATTCCGTTCCACTGTGACTTTATATCAGCTGTGGTTGTTCTCGTGACATGTATATTTAATATAACACTCTCAAATCTGTGTATACCATTTCTCTGTTCATTTTTCAACACTTGATTCTGGTGTTTTTTTGGGATTTTTTTACAGATTCACATCTAAGTGACGGATGTAGCTCAGTCGTTATCAAGAACTATCGCAATAGTGTGTTCTACTGTGAATTAGAAGGTGAAAGAAACAAGCTAAAGGTTAGTATGTAAATCTTTGCAAGTCAATTAACTATTAATATTTTATATCTTACATTTTTCTTTCGTTAATTTATATAAGTGGGAATTATATTTTGCGCATATTCGTAAAAGTGCCACTTTCAAGTTTGTATTCATTCACGTCGTACAAATAATCAGTAACCAAATAAGAATATCAGACGTTTTTTATGAGTACCAGTGCTAGATTAGCGCATATATATTGCAGTTTAAGACAGATTTAATAAAGCTCTCAGATAATTAATTAGTGATATGGAGAAACATATTTCATCAGGACCTGTCTCTTGTTGCTGAGAAGTTGATTAAAGGCTCTTTACCGAATAGTCATACGTAAAATATTGTAATGCTTAATAAAGATACAGAAATTTTTCAAATTTTGCTTTATGTTCCACATAACCAAAGATTTAAGTCATAGAAGCAAAATAAAGACGCTACCTTCAAAAACGAAAAAAAAAAGAAAGTTTTACCAGATGAATCCTCGAATATGTAATACTCCAAAGTTTCATCTGCTTGTTTGTTTGAAGTTAAGCACAAAGCTACACAATGGGCTACCTGTGCTCTGCCCACCAAGTGTATCGAAACCCTGTTTTTAGCGTTGTAAGTCCGCAGACGTACCGCTGTGCCACTGGAGGGCCACAGTTTTGTGGTGCTCGATTTTCAGTATTTCTTTATATGATTTCATTTATAAGATACCATTCTCAACATTTTAAAAGCAGTGTGTATTATATATAATTATATTTTAAGAGATCGTCATCAACTCAAAAAAATAAACAAAGGTAATAATATTGCGATGATTTCCACCAGTAAGATTCTAATAGACTTTCGCGTACGTGTCGTGATTTCAATAGTATTAAATCTTTGCCCCCCCCCCCCCAGTAGCACAGCGGTATGTCTGCGGACTTACAACGCTAGAATCCGGGTTTCGATACCTGTGATGGGCAGAGCACAGATAGCCCATTGTTAGCTTTGTGCTTAATTACAAACAGACAAACAAATTAAATCTTAGTAGCATGTAAAAATATATTTATCAGATGTTCATATCATACCTAACTGAAACTTTCTATGTATTTTCAAGAGATACTGATGAAGGAAGTTTGTTTGGCCAAAACATTGACTTTATAATTTTTCCCATAACTATTTTAACCATTTCTTTTGCAATTTCATTTTTTATCACGCTGTAGCTGCATTTATCCAGCAATCATGTTAGTTTTGAAAAAGCCACCCGAAAGTATAATATGTTGAAAGAACACATACTATTCAATATTATGGATTCACAAAGTAATAATAATAATAACATAAAGATAAAAATTCAGTCATGTTGTTTCTGTGCTATAACACATACTTCAGCATCATTTGAGTGTAAAATTTTCCCATTGTTAAAAACCATTATTTAAAATCAGCCTGTAAAATTACATTGCTGATGGTAGAAAGCGGATTAATTCTTGTGTGACGTCACCTCAAAATAGAAGTTAAACTTACTCAATAATATATTGTTTTAGTTGAGCTCCTGCCATTTGTTATTTAATGTTTTATTGGTAATTACATTAAACACTTTCAGTTGCTGGATAGCAGATCAATTGTTTAAAAGAAAAGGTGTATCTGAAAACGTTGTAAAAAAAAAAAGTTTCATTATTTATTATTATTATCCTTTAACGTACGTATTATTATCCTTTAACGTTTCTTATCCAAAATTAAAAATATAGTTTTGTACTTGCTGGAGCTCCTTTCTTTTGTTAACTATATTTCTCTGATAATACAAATACTTATGTGTCATGCTATGTTCAACGATTGCTCTAAAGGTTGTCAATTCAGGACCTACCAAGGACAGCATCAGATCTAGAGCCTCTATGCCCTTACTGAGAGAACAGTCTCTGCAATTTGAAAACAGTGCACATCCAACAGTGACCACAGCTTCACGGAGACAATCATATAACCCCTGTTACGAAAATGTATTTTTTCGTACTGAGAATCCAGGCTGTGAAAAAGATGAATGTTCTGTCAAACCCACGAACGCAGTAACAGATGAGAAGCAATTTCCTAACATCAACTGTCACCAGTGTGAGAGCAAAAGTAAGTTGAAATTTTTCTTTGTGTGAATTACAGTACTGGATTAGTTCGAAGCTAGCTTGCATTGTGTTGTTGTGTCCTTGACCCCAATTGTTTCAGTCTATCTAGATGTGTAATGGATACCAGCTATCAGTTGGGTCATAACTTGCAATGGCCTAGCAACCTATCCAGGGAGAATATGTCACCATTCTCAACCGCTTGTGCCAATTAAGCCAGAGTATAACACCAAATCATATTTGCCATCTCGGCAAGAGAGAGAGATTTGATCTAATCTGAAGTTATATGATACTCTATGTCAATAACAAGATATGCGAGAGTAAATTTGATATAGACATACTGTATGAAAATATGTAATACATGTTAAGACCTTATTATTTAATCTGCTGTATTTTGATTTAAACCTTCTCTATTTGAGTTTGCGTAATTCAGCATAAATATGTTTCCTGTTGAGTGATATTTTTTCTTCCCATCAGGTGTACAAGCATGTTTGGATAACTTACCAATAAACCACAAAGGCCAGAGTTCTGTCCAAAATGAAGATGAAAATTCGACAGGAAGATCATCTAGTAGCTCAAACAGAATCAACACGGCACATTTAAAGCGTAGAAAAGTCAAATCACATGTTAGACCTAGCGTAAAAAAACAGAATAGTTTATCCTTGAACTCTCTACCGCATGGTCCGTCTGAATGTAATCACAATCATTGCTCATCTTCACAAACTGAAAACATATATGAAGAACTGATGACGCAAATTTTTCCTGTTGTTTCAAATGATATATTACTCCAACGCCAGTCTTCGCAAGCCGAAAATATATATAAAGAGCCTGTAACACCACACTCCTCTAAATATTCTTCAAATAATGTATTACACCAACACTACCCATCTCAAACCAAAAATATATATAAACAGCCCGTAACAGTAGAACTCTCTCGGTATCCTTCAAATAATTCATTAAGGAATTATTCCGTGGGTCACATTAAGTATTTCCCAGAATTCAGAATTCCAAACACTTTCGAGTTTCAAGATTCTTTCGCCAAAACGAGAGAAGAAAATTATAAAAACTTCCTTTCTTTACCCGACCTCGTGGAGTTAAGGGGGGCAAATGCGATTCCTAGCCATACCCCTCCCGAGCAGCTTCAGAGATTGCTAAATGCTGAATCTAAGGTGCGAGAAAAACGTAGCTCTTTTAGTGAATATCTTGTAGAAGCCAGTACACTATGTCAAAAACATATTCCTCTCAAAAATGTAAAAGGTTCAGAATGTTATATATAACTTGTTTTATTATATTTTAAAAGATTCAGATTCTTGTATTACAGGTTATGGAGTAGCATTTTTTCAGTCTTCGAATTATTAATGAGGACCCCATCAGCCAACACATGTTTATAAACTATTATTCATCAAATTGCTCATGGATTCATGGCTTTGTTGGTTACAGAGCAGTCCCGGATTTAGAGGGAGTGCAAACTACGCAATTGCATAGGTGCCTCGAGCCCCAAAGAAGGGGGCCTCAATTTTGAACCACCCTAGGAAAGAGGCCTCCAGTATCGCAGTATTACATGGAGATCTCAAAGAGTCTAAATCTGGCCCCGTTACAGAGCCCCTGTTAACATAAGAGTCACAAAGAACATGCATACAAAATATACAGTAAATCTTGAACTTAATTCCACTAACTACTGCCTAATGTGCTTTACAAAGAAAGTGGATAATTTCATTCTTCTTTTTTTTTCACCACCAGTTCTCGTTAAGCCTTGAAACAGGAAAAATCATAAGATTAACTCAATATGATGCAATGGGTATGTTCAACACCACAGCACCGAAAACAGGCGTTTTCTTTTAATGAAGACTTGACATGTTCTGGTGATTAGAGCATTTGACTCATGATCTGCGAGTCGCAATTAAGAAGCCCGTCGCCAAACATGCTTACTTTTTCAGCCGTGAAAACGCTATAAGGCTATGGTCAATCACACTTTTCATTGGTAAAGAATAAAGTTGGGGGTAAGTTGTGTTGACTAGCTGCTTTACCTCTAGTGACAGTCTAGTCTATCACTTCTAAATCAGGGATGGCTAGCGCAGATAGGCTTCGAGTGGTTCTGAGCAAAATTAAATAAAATTTAATAAAAACGTTTTGTAACATTGCCAGACTGCTGTAGTGTTGGTTTCTCACGAAATGCTACTATTGTGATTTTATTATAATTATCAATGAAGTTTGATCAAAGCAATCTGTCTGCATAGATCAGAAATAAACATTAACCTAGTAAATAATATAGCTATATTAATATACCACACTAACTAGGAGTATGCAATGTCATAAACCAAAACTGATAATGACGAAAATGCATATATTTGTTAGTTGTTAGCGAAATTTTCAGCGCTGCAATTTTGAGACTTAAAGACTATAATGCAGAACATTGAGTGCATTATATTAAAATGATTTTAGAGCCCCACAACGTCGTTATGGTCCAAGTCGCCAAGCTCTATCTGTATAGCTTGACAATAGCCCTAAAAACTCAGATTCTATTGCAAAAGGCTATGTCCTAAAGCTTTCACATTCTAACATCCCTCCTCCCTGATGGATTTCCAAGTCACCTTGTGTTCGAGGATGGCGGTTTCCCAACGATCGTTCCGACAGTCCGAACGCATAGAAACCATGGATACCTGTTTTATTCTCTAGTTGCTTAAGGTATGCAACTGTTGAGCAGATATCCCAGCCCAGTGTACTTTAAATCTAAAACAAGTCAGACGAGTGAGGATATTTAAAAAAATAATTTTAAATGTTACTAAGCTACTAATATGAAATGCTTTTACTGTTGAAATATACCAAGTGAAATTATCTGTTAATTTATAACCCTCATTCTTTGAATAACAAGGCTCACGAAGGAATTAATGATTTATATTATACAGGATGAATTACGCCATGATATTATGGTTTAAATACCAAACACTGGATTCGTTTAGAATTTTATTTTTGTGCTTCTGAAACTTTCAGCAATGGAGATGTCTTGGTCATTCCCATATTCAATACTTAAAAACTTAACAACCAATAACAATAAGAACATCACTCACGATGATTTCTTATTTTTTAAAGCAAACATTTTAATATATTTGGTAAAATAAAAAATATGAATTGTTTTTATTTTCAGTTTTGACCAATTTCCTTTGATACACAAAGTGTGTCATAACATTCAACATTCAAAGAATATGTATTTTACCCGAGTGCCAATACTAAAGTAAACAAGCACACATTCCAATGTCAGTAAGTTACAGAAAATAATGAACTTTGTTTTTTGTGTGTTACATTAAATATTCCATATTAATAACAATAACAGTAAGCAACGAATACATCGAAAGAAGTAATAAGATAAAAAAAAAGGTGAAAGTATTCGATCACAAAATACACTAAGGACTTGGTTTTTCACAAGATGTGCAAAAAATAAATTACGCAAGTCACCCCCTCGAAATCAAAATAAATCTGAATGACTACTCGTATAAATCAGGTTTTCATAATATTTGGCATGATGAATGACTTACACGAGATTGAACAAAAATGTTTTATGTCGGGTTAGCTTCAACGATAATTTGTTTGTTTATTTTGAATTTCGCGCAAAACTACACGAGGGCTATCTACGCTAGCCGTCCCTAATTTAGCAGTGTAAGACTAGAGGGAAGGCAGCTAGTCATCACCACCCACCGCCAACTCTTGGGCTACTCTTTTACCAACGAATAGTGGGATTGACCGTCACATTATAACGTCCCCACGGCTGAAAGGGCGAGCATATTGCGAGTCGAGCGCCCTAACTACCTGGCAATGCCGGGCCTCAACGATAACTTAGACTTGTAAAAGTAGAAACCAGGCTTCAATGTTATGCTATTAACATAACACAAGCAAAACTACGTTGTATTTTGAAGATATTCAAACTTTTTTGCAAGTCCCCCCCCCCTAAAAAAATTAATCTGATGAATTCGAAATATAAGAATCTCAAGACTTCTGTCTAAGTTACTCCGAATGTATCCTTGGGGTATACACTACATAATCAGCCATTTATATCATACTGGCTGTTTGATTTGTATTTACGTTTATTCACTGTTTTATTGGCTATCCATTCACACAGTTCATGCTCACTTACCAACTGTTTAAAACTCTTCCTTTTTGTTACAGATTCATGTATTATGCCTTCAGAATCAAAACAGAAACTGTAGAAAAATTCCTATTGTGGATGGTATTTTATCTTCCATGGAAATGATTCACTATTTTACGAGTTTCCACTACAGTACCAACATCTGATTTGCTTCTTCTCAGACGATATCGATCCTCGAGCACAAATTTTATACTAGATGTTGTGTTTTGGTGATGTTAACAATTATGATGTACTTGACTTCTACAACTTAAATCCATGAACCGATTTTTCCGCGATCCTAATTTAATCATTTTAAAGAGCTGTTAGTTTTATAATGATCAGGTTTTTCTGTCAACTGTTAAAATGATTACACTATCGACAAAATTCTTTCTTAGAGAAAAAAAAAAAGCTCTTGCTAACCTAACCATCCGTTTCCTAATTACCATTAAATACACTCACCCACCCTCAAATAAAGTAGGGTTGGAAAAATCAATGATATTAGGGTTAGCATTCACCGAAATGCCTAGGAAAATTTAAGTTTTTGACACCAATTTCAGGTCAATGAGGTCAAAAAACAAAATGGCGACCATTTCCATTTTGTGCATATAGGGTGACATCGTGGTAGCTTAAGTTTTTTTAAATAAATGCTTTACTAACAATTGCTAATGAATTAACCTTCTAGCTTAGTTGTTAAAGCACTCGCTTTTAGTCGGAGGTTCAAATTCTACACGCCAGAGTTGTAAGAAATTTAAATTACAACACTTGTGTGCAACCAAGTCAACTCCTATTTAAATCCAAATTAATGATTATTAGTCCATTCATATTAATTATACTGTCCAAATCAGAAAATTCTCTCCATAACCTGAGCATTTATTTAGCTTACACCACTTTTCTGGGAATGTGAAGAGTTTTATTGACCAAATCAAAAACGGGTATAAAAATATAATACTTTTGCATATACTTCTCAATCACTACAAGTAATAAATATACATAGAACGAAGTAACATTATTCACCGAAAGTTTCTTTTAATAGAACAAATACTTATTGTAGTTCAAGATTTGATATTCTAAATTTTTGTGCTATTTAATGAATTAATATTAAGAGAATATACATGAACCATAACCATGAATGCTTTTAATGCCTTTTACATGAGGAAGGAAAAACCCTGTTTACACAGGATCAAGTTATGCACATATCCAAAGGTAAAAACTATTGTTTTGGCAGATAAAATACTTTCATTCAAATCAGAATTATGTAGATAAAAACCAAGTAAATCCAGTTAAATTCTCAAAATACTTTCTAAATTTATAAGTTATTTTTCTCTTATTGAAATTTTCTCATTTGACCTTTTCATCACTGAGAGCCTTGTGCAAACTGTGCAATATTCTTAGTCATGCAACGAATTTGAAATATGAAATAAACCAGCAAATAAATAAGTTTATTTTGTTTATTTTTTTAAATGTTACAATAATTTAAAACAACATTATAAAAATACTGTGATGTTCTTTACATCAAAACAGACTAGTATCACACAAGTTGATGGATGATCTTGAGCATCATAGCCTTATAACTTCTTTAATCTTCCAGGAAAAATACGATGTTGACCTGCATAAACAAAGAAATTTAAATTATTTATAAGAAATTTAATAAAAATATTATGAATCACCAGAGGGATAAAAAAGCAGCTAATAATAAAAAAAATATTATTTTTACTTATTGATATTTTAAAGAACACTCCAAAATTATTTGACTGTTATGTAATTACTGTTCTTCAGCACAGTGTTTTAAATATTAACATTAACTACTTTATTCAGTACTTAATTAAAAATAATACCACAGAATATAAAAAAGGTTTAGAGTGAACAATAATATTTTCAAGCATGCTGGACAAAGAACAATACATCACTTTCAAAAGAAATACTAACAAGAAGGAAAAGGAAACATACACCCAAACAAATTTTAATAAAATGAAATTGGATTCTTTGTGATAAAGGAAAATACAACTCTTCATTCTTATGATATTCAATCATAAAAATTGGAATAAAATCAAATCCTATCACTGAATTTCTGGAATAATCATATTATTATCTGGTAAAAAAACAGAAACAGCCTAGAACAAAAGACATTCCTATTAAAAAAACTACTTATGCCAAGGCATTTGGAAGGAAAAAATGTAAGTGCAGAAAATCCGACTTCATTTTCTCAACACATTTAAAACAGTACCTAAAAAAATATCTCCTCCATCTTCTGTTTCAAATGCATAAATAAAACCAATAAGACAGACAACAAAAAATCTTCAGTTTTAGTTATCCTATGCTATATTAGCTTAATGATGGATTCAAAAACTTTCATTTTATGTACATACTAGATCTTTTTTGTCAGAAAATAGTTCTATAAATGTGAGATTCTTCTCCTGAGGCAAATTCTGGATGTAATCATGGGGATTACTGTGATCATTATTTAAAATTATATACTTACTTGACTTTCTGGTGCCTGGACTGGTTCTTCTCTTGTTAGGTTCTTTCTCCTGCTGTTTACTAAGTATGAGAGGTGTAACCAGAGGGGTTAAGGTAATTATGTTCTCAGGACTTTTCCTGTCTTTCCACAGATCAGGGGGTGATATATTGTCTTTGTTCCTGTTCACCCCTGGGGAAGGACTACTTGTTGAAATAAAGCTCTTTATATATAAAATTTTACACATTTTAAATCTTTGTTGTTTTTAAGTAATATACAAATATTAAAAGACATGAATAGTTTTATTAGCTGGAAATAGAAAGTAAGAAAACATTCTAAAAAAAAAAATTCCCATATTGTAATAATCTTGGCAAAATAACCAAACTTCACTTGAACACCTCATGTACACTGAACATTGCCACTTAACAGTTCTATTCCCAGCAGTTTCTAGCAAGGATTTGTGTTTTTCTTAGTTTTTGCTCAATTAGAAACTTTTTTCATCTGACTGTAGCAACAGTGATACCTGAACTGAACTATAAATCTGGTGTTACCCAAGGTTAGCGGCAATACTATTCTAGTCTGATTGTATGTTATATTTACAAAACTATCTCTATACTTGTAAAAATAATTATAATAATTTTTAAAAAGATATAACAACTTATTCAAAAATTCCAATTAAAAATCAGTGATTTTTTTCTCCAAACTGTAAACAATGGTATACCTCTGAAATATTCCAAAATCTCCAAATTGCAGCCTTTTCATCTAGAATTGTAAATTTACATTTTAAAGCTTCTTTAGAGTAGGGTTACCAAATTTTGAGAGCAAAAACCCGTGACTTCCCCCCCCCCCCCCATATGGAGTAACAAAGTAACTGTTCTGAAATAGTTTAAAGTACAATAACACATTTTTTATTACTTGCTAAATAAGCTGATTTTTATTGTATCACAAAATTTGTTAAAAGCTTACCCATTTAAAAAATAATAAAATAAAAAACATGACTAAGTTGTCTCAAATCTACTCAACAGAAAAATGTTGCTTCTTTTTTGTTTTTCACATCTGGGCAGGTCTTTATTTCTCAATCTCTGCAGCTGCCTAACAGTAGATTAGGTTAAGAAAACATAAGAAAGAGGGTGGGAACACTACACTGTGTGATCTGTTTTTGTCAAGTGATTCTTCAAGTAAAACTTAAAAGAAGCTATACCTAATCAGAAGCTGTACATGTCAAACTCAAATTGAGATAAGAAAAAACTGATATATTTTAATACTTTACTGTTTCTGAACAGAATGGAAAAAATAAGCTAAAAAACTGGGGCAATCCCAGTTTTACTGGGATTGCTGGTAACCCTAACTTTGAGCAGAGTCACATCAAAAACCAATGATGTTTTATAAGGAAACAACAATTCAAAGCTTAAAATAGACTATCAACATAAGAATCTGTTTAGATTACAGTCAGTAGCCTGAAACAAATAGGAATTCTTAACAAAAGAAGTGACTTGAAATTAATTCCTGGAGATACATAAATATACCAAAGGAGAACTGGCAAGATAAGTGACCACTTTTAAATGACCTCTTGATTATTGGTTAATTATTATTTGTTCTACCTACTGACCTTGTTTATGTCAAATACATAAAAAAATATATAAATCATTATTATAATCCTTCAAAATAAAAATTAAATGACTGACTGATACAAAAAAATAAAAACAAATAACTAAATGAAAAAAAACAAAAACAGACCAATACGAGCACAATAACAAATTGTTTAATCAGAATGTCTGTTGTAACCCCAAAGCCCTGATGAAAAGAAATTCATTTCATCGCATTATAGAACAGGTAACAAAAAATAAAACAATGCCATTTACGTGAAAAAACTTCTTAAATAGTCCAAATTCACCTCTTTATATCATATTTTCAGTATTATATTGTTTGCATGTATTTCCACATGGACCCAACAAACCTTCATGCCAAATTTGGTGAATATACATGAACAGGGGGCGAAGTAGTAGTAAAAAATTAATAAAACTGCAAAATGCAAAATTGAAAATTTGTAGTATCTCCCCATGGACCCAACAAATCTTCATACCAAATTCGGTGAAGATCCATTAACAGGGGGCGAGGTAGTGGTAAAAAAAAAACACAAAAACGTCAATAAAAACCACAAAACTTAAAATCTGTATGTACCCCTGCATGGACTTTATGAACCTCCATACCAATTTTGGTGAAGATCTAAACACACTCAGCGAAGTAGTTACGTGGACATACAACAGACAGTATTATTATACTTATATAAATTTTAATCTTGTATACATGCTTCAAAAACACTTACAAAAAGTTTTTAACAGTTTTCAAAAAATGGTATGAAGTGACATTTTTTGTATTAAACAATGTGAAAACTGGATATGAATAACTTACCATCAGTCACTACCAGAGGCTGTAAAGGTGGAGATCTCTGATGTGACATACCCTGGGGTATATTGCCCTAATGAGAAAAAAGCAAACCACCATTAATGTTAATAGAAAACCATTTTAAAATTACATTAAAACAAATGTGTTTATGTGTACTTAAATTTTGTAACAAAATATTCTGATTTGTTTGTATACATCTGATGTAACCAATTAATACCCAGATCTATCTATTCTCACCACAAGATATATATATGAGCTTTAAATATAATCTTTTCTATCATACTACTTTGTTTAAAATCTTATTAGCATGGTTTATATTAATACTGAAAGTCTTCTATAACCATTCTCAGGGAAAAGCACGATCTTGTCACACATACAGAACATTTGCACTACAAAGATGTTACATTCATCAACATTAGACAAGGTCAAACCAAGGCCCTCCACACAGTACCTAAAATTCCTTCGGTGCCAAAATCTCTGTGCTACATGATTATGAAGATATTATTATTATTAATTCTTTTTATTTGTAACATTCTTCAGTTGAAGCCCAATATGAAATTTGGGTTGCAAGAAATGTTTTTGTTTTGATTTATTGGCACAGAATTTTTAAAGCACAATTTTATGTTTTCAGCATCCAAAAATTTTGTGCCTTAAGTTAGTGTGCTAACATTTTCTATTGCTTCCTCTAACAGTGATATTTGCACATGTTGAAGAAAAATATTTTTTTGAAAAAAAAAAAAGTAATTTTCATGTAAACTTTTGTCGCACATTTTTTTGAAGATCATCTGAACATTTTGAACATGGCAACTTGCTAATGTTAAGGCAACTATGTGGTCACAATTTGATTTGCTTTTAAATTTGCAGTAGTCCTCCAGTGATCTTTTGTGAATCAAATAAACTGACTACTGAATAATGAAAGCATGTTTTTCTTTAAAACATATCAGAATTGAAATTAGAAATAAATAGATGACATACCTGCTGAATATGGGAAAGACATAGTAGCCCCCTAGAGGGGTGATAGGGGGTTAGGTGTGAATACAATAAACATAAAAGTAATCAAGAATTTTCTTTAGTGATAAAAAATCTTGTAAGCTTAGTCAGGTTTAGTGATATGATAGGTGACGGCAAAAGATTCTGATGACTGAAATTCTTTTTAAGTGAATTAAATTTCAAGCAGATACAATTTAACACACAAACTATAAAATAAATTCCCAGCACTGTGGTTTGTTCCCAAGTCTTCAAAACTTCCTTTGTTCAATGTTACATGAGCTCTGACAAGTGAATTTCCCATGAAACCATTAACTAGTACTCAAACAACTTTATCTACTCTACTACAATGTGAAAATAATAATTTTTTGCTTTAACCAATAACATTTAAGCTTTCTTTATAGCTGTTTTGAAAGTTGTGTTTCATTCATTAATGATTGAACCACTAGATGTGACATCATAAAAAGGCAGCAACTAAGGTGTGTACAAAAAATAAGCAGAAGAGGCAATGTAAATGGCTCTAAAATCAAAAAATGGATAACATATTCTTAAGGGGATGATAGCTTCTTAACAAATTTAAAGCTATTCCTTGGAGCAGGCCAAAATGTTCCAGAAAAACTAATAAGTGTGTTGCTTACAGGAGAAATTCTTCAGGGCTGTACAGAAATGAAAATTTTAAAATGTTCCTAAATGCAAAAATATCGGTTCTAAAATTGTGGAAAAAAAAACGATAGAATTATTATTTTTACTCGAATTTTGAAATTCATCAAATTGATTTGCAAATTTCTTGCTTAGTAAAATTGAGGCAAAAAAAAAATTAACTTGAAGAAAGTGATAGTGAGAAAAATATGAAAAGCCAGGGGAAATACTGAATTTCCTGTAACTTGATTATCTTATAACATTTACATTTTTAGTGTTTTCTATTTCATTTCTAATTTCTACCTTCTGTTCTTCTTAATCTAGCTAATCTCTATTTCTAAATATCACAACAGAACTGACATTCCCTTTTTTAAGGGCAATTTACCATTAATTCTAGAGTCACTGCTGCCCTTTTGATGTACTTGTTGGTTTTGATATTTAGGGTATTTGTGAAAGAAAAGAATGTGTGTATAAAGAATTCTATGTCATGGTTTTATATTTTCCTGTTGTATGTTTTCTTTTGCTTTACGCTCCAACTTATTCCATTTAGTTGTCACCTCCTGAAAGTTCATTGATGTTAGGGGTTTCTATAATTCTTGCCTTGGAGGTATGTGAGGCAAAGTGTTATAAATATATTTGTGGCCTACTTTTTTCATGATGCTTGGGTCTTATGCTTTTACCTTCCAATATGCATCATGGAATAGTTAAACTTAATTTAAATTGGTTTCTACACTTTACTATTTCAAGCCTCTTTTCTTCTACATCTGCTGCTGCCTTACAGTTAGGTGGACATTCTATGGAATTCTAACTGCACTGTATTGATAATGTAAAGGTTCTTTTTTTTTTTTATCTTATGACCTCCAGTCAAGCTGACTTGAGATTGATTATACGTGTGTGTGTGTGTGTGACTGTCTAATTTTGAATTAAACTTCTTTTTTTTTCAGCAATACTTTCAATGTCTTCCGAGTAAAACAAATATTTGTAATACAATTCAAGAAAAATCTATCAGATTTTAGGAAACTAAGAAAATCTTTTGTTACTAGAATGTACAAAACAAAACACATGCAATTCTATGAACTGGTGAAAATAAATTTGAGAGATAAATATTTTCTTAAAATACGGTGACCTACCTGTATTGGATAAAAAATATCATGGAAATGTGTCTTATTTAGAAGCATAAATGCCAACTAAATGATAAAATCCAAAAGTATAAATTTAGTAGTGGGCTGCAGAATACCAACTTTTCTGATGCAGAGATAAATTTTCATATTAACATCTACTGTGTAGAAGGCAGCAGAAAACAAACAGATAACAATAACACCTACCTTATTACTTTTACTGGTGCTAGGGCGTGAGTATGAGAAATACTGCATTCTATCTGCTGCAGCACTACTTACTCTACTACAAACACCAGGAGATTTGATGCCCTGCAGAAGAACATTAATTTTACGTAAGTTGGACATTATATATAATAAGTAATTGTGACAAGTATTACGATAAATCTGTACAAAAACAATAGTATTACCTACACTCTTTGATGATTTTCACTTGTAGTCCTCACCATTTTGAATGATACAGCAGAAAATATTACAAATACATTAATACCATGATATTAAAAAATATCCCATGATAAAATATAAAAGTTTAATCACAAAAAAGTCAAATGTTAGTCATATGTCACACACACACACACACACACTCAGTTATATACATATTTCATAGATTTTTATTAGTAAAAACAGGCTAAATGTTTGCAAGAATTGATACTAAGGAGGCTAAGAGTTCTGTGTAAAGCATTTGAGATTAAGTTTCTATTAAGAATAATAATCTTTTTTTAAATTATTATGATTTATGGGGAGTACCAGACCAAAGTATTAGAAATGATGGAAATATGATTAAGAGGTGAAATTCTTCTGTAAATAAACATAATTTTTGTTTGGAAAGGCTTCAGATATTAATACGAGATACTAAATGTATCTTTCACACTCATATATATGGCAAACTGTGGTGTTTGTCCGAGCGTTCATCTGTCTCCCATTTACAAAGCTGTGCACGTAGGCAAAGCTCAACATTCATTTTTGAAATGAAGGGAGAACAGGCATGAATAATGTTGGTGCCAAATTTTATTTCACAAGCAGGATATTCTACACTAAATTGTTGGGAATTAATCACACTATCATTCACATTTCAAAATGTGACATAACTTAATAAATAAAAATGTAGATTTCCTGTATGTTATTGTTGAACGACTCTTAGCATGACTGAAATTCTCAACAATTACATTTCACGGTGGGCGGTATAGGTAGCTCAGAGTTTTGGCTCTGAGTGAAACCAAGAGTGCAACACAATTAACCTTTTTAAAGTCCATGAAATAATTTAAATTGATAGATTAACTTAAGCTTTTCCAATCACTGAGGATGGGTACTTTTGCTTGTGCTTTAATACTTTTGCTCAAAAGAAATGTCTTAATAGTTACAGCAAAAAATTAATAAGTTTATTGAACAGAAAAATATCATAAAAAGTACAGTGATTAATTGTTATCTTTTAAAATATTCTTCACTGTTTTGTGTGTAAATTGAGTATATTTGCACTTTCTGTAGTTCCTCTACTAATACAGCAAAATGTTTTGTTTCCTTTCATTTATGTCCAAAGAGAGAATGTAACCTATGAAGGAATATCTTAGGTTCAAGCAAAATACCAAAATTTCCAAACTGAGTTGAAGTTCTTTCAGAGATATTCATGAAAATTAAAATAACCAAGTTAGGCCTAGCACTGTAAAATAGCAAATTTCTATAAACACAATAAGAGTATCATTCTATTCATAGTTAAATATATGTGGCCTTACAGAACCTCTTAAATACATTAAGGTTTAGCAAATGTAAATGAATTGGCCAAGAAATATAAAAATTTAGTTAGTGGTCTGATTTTTCCCTATCTTCTGAACAACAACTTAAGAAAAAAAAAATATTGTTTTTTTATATATATTAAACAAAAAAGTGATAAAATAAGGCAATGCTAATATGAGGTATAAACATCTAACAGGCTAAAAATACTAACTCAGATAACTTGTGTGACTGACATAAAAAAAAAGACCTATTTATATTGGGATTTGAAGCTCACATGGCAAACAACTTCTTTTTTCAGACCTTTTTAAATAACACTTATGTGTAAGTGTTTTTTGCCATTCTTCTTAATTATTTCATTATGTATTTTGAATCAGCGATATTTAAAAGTAGCATTTCAGATATATATCTATTGACTGTCACAAGTCACAGCCCAAAAGACCTTTAATTCAATACTAGAACTGATCAGAATATTTCTGGTTGTATCAGTTACAAAACACTGTCAAGGAAAAGCTAATAAGATATTTTTTATTAAGCAAAATCACTTTTGAATAAATTTTAATATCTGGTTAATATGTATCTTTCCTTCTATTTTCTCAATTACAAATTCAAGACGACTTATAAAAGAGAGAATCATTCTAAAAAATCATGCACACCCTGTAGCAATACTAATTTTTCTTTTTTTTTGGGGGGGGTGTTGTATTAAAATTAATATGAATGTACAAAATTGTATAATGGCTAGTCTTTTATACCATTTGTAGTATTTTAACCTATTTAGCAAAATAAATCAGTCCATGTTGTGCAAAGAAAAATTACATACAAAGTGCATTTACAAAAAAATTACAAAATTTTTAACTTAAAAAGGCCACTTACATGATGCAGTTGGTTCTGATCAGATGTAGTGAGAGGAGGAAGTAATGAATGTGTACAGTTCTGGTCAGTGCTGTCTTGATGTTGGAGAGCACTGGTGGGAAAATTAAGTTGTATCACTCCAATGTCTGGTAGCGTAGATTGTTCTTCTTGTACAGACTAGAATAAAAGAAAAGAAATAACAAAATAGAAAACTATACAAGATTATAGCATTCTCATTTTACTTGCATGTTTTTAATCTTCCTACTTCAGAACAAACAATGGTAAAATCTTAATTTAAAGTATGCAAAATCTGAACTATTATTATAAATGTACATATGCAAATTTGTTTTAGAAAAGCAGAAGATACAACTTTATACTTTATTTTTATAAGGCATCAAGAAACATAGCTTCAATTTTTTTTGTTCTCGAAGACAGCTGATTTTGAATTATCAAACACAAAAATATACATCCATTCATCATTTCGTCATACACATCTCTCTATGATTAATGTTATAACATGAATTGTTAAGAGAAAAGCCAAATAGGAAACCCAAGAAAACTTTACTTTACTTTTAATGATCCTCCATAGGTTATAACTTAAAAGACAAAAATATTTGTTAAAAATTAACCCTTTCCAGATCAAAGAAGTGTCACTGTTATACTTTGATTTTTTTTTTCTCATAGTGGGAATATTAAACTATGTTGCAGGAAACTTAGAATAAACTTACTAAATACTATCTAGATGAGGCTTAAAAATATAATATAATTTATTTTGTTTTAATTCACATTTTTACTTTGTTTTTTTTAAAGGAGATACTGTTTCAGAAAAACACTAAAATACTTCCTTTACCTTAGAATTTAAATGTTTTTTCATTGTTGATTAGAAAGTTCCATTTTATATATCTAGTCAGTATCAACTTGATTGGTGTTCATTAACATATACTTCTTTTGATACTTCATAAAATCATTTTGCTGATTGCAGTAGTCACCAATAAACTTTGGTGAATTAATTGATTAATTGGTTACTTAATCAAAGTTAGTATTTTCAATCATTACAATAATCAATGGGATACTATGGATAGAGCAAGAATTAGACTATCACGTAATAATAAATATCTAGGTTTAATATATTTTTTACAGTTTCTGCCATTTGTGAACTGTGGAAGTATTTGTGAGTTTGAAAGTTACAGAAATCTTCTTCAATGAGAAGAATTTAGATAACTTAGGATAAGGTAAGCTTACAAATTTTATAGACAGGTTGAATGAGTAACAAAGAAAACTTTATTACAAGTTTAACACAGTAACAAATGTATAATGTTTGGAGAAGGTTTTGTAATCATCAGGTAAAAGTAGTTTACTTAGACATAGGAAGATATATATACAACAGGAAACAAAGAAGTAACATGATTGGAGATTTATTATGGTTTAATAAAAGCATCTTGTTGATGTCTGGTTTTTTGTTTAAAATTATGATGTAAATATACTATGGTTTTATTGAGATGTAATGTTTACAAACATGAGTTTTTTTAATTATGTTTACCAAATCAGATTAGTTATGTTATGTTTAGCAGCATGGTGAGTATGGTAGGCAAGTGCAAAATATTCTAATGAATGAAATCTTTATTGAGTATTATTTTCATGTTTATGTTATTCAAACAACATTCAATCATGATTTTTTTTTAAATAAAAACAATATTAACCTTATTGGTAATGGTGATAGAAAAAGTTAAATATGTCTCAATCATTCTATTTACAGTATATTAGTGTGAGATTATTCATATTTTAAAAAGAAACATCATGGTAACTGCATAGTGGTGATGTTTAACTAACATTAGTAATTCATTCATCAAATATTATGTTTGTGTGAAAAGAAATTTCTAGGAATAAAATACTATAAAATATACAGGCCCATCAATTAATCGATTATCAAATTTCACTAATTGCCCAGCTCTATTCAACACTTCTGGCTATAAATCACAAAAATTACAGATAAAACTAAAGAATAGTTATTGATGACTTACAACTTAGCCTTACATGATGGTGTCACCACTATCTTCGTCAGGCTGGGTAAAAATTTTTTGCTAACATTAATGCTGTTAGGAAAACGTTTAGGTTCAAGAAACCAATTTAACACACAAAAACAAAACCCTATAGCCCAATTGCTTTCAAAAGGTGGACCTTTCTTCTACAGTTTGCCCTTGAAAAAGAAAGATCCAGCTTTCAAAAGTGCTCAGATTATATGGTTTTGTATTTTTGTGTTAAACCTTTTGCTAACAATATTCGTGGTCAAAATTAATTTAACTGCAATAAAAAAATAATATCTTTTTAATAAATAATAAGTTCTTTTTTATGTGCATTGTTTGAATAAATAAATTAACATTAAAACACTTTAAAGAGTATCTAAAAAATTCCCAGAACTGTAGCTTATTTTTTAGTCTTTTGAGCTGCCCATTAGTTTCCTTTGTCTGACAGGAGCTCTTTCCCATGAAACCATAAATTACTGTTCACACCACTTTATTTAACTCTACACTGACCATACCTGTCAGCCCATTTCGGTGTTTACCTGTAGTTATTACCATGAAAACCCATAATTTTTTTAAAGTACCCACAGGATTGCACGACTTTTGCCTTCTTGCAAGGAGTTGCCATTTTGGAAGATGGAAGCTGTGATATTGATACAATAGCTCTTACACAATGATACAACAGAGTATCACTGTAAGGTGCTTAAAATAACTGCAAATTAGTATAATAATACTTTATTTTGCCAAAAAAAAGGCTAACTCAGTATGACATTGAATCCATAGTGAACAGTAAAAAGACTGTAGGGTTTCTAAGCTAATAAAAAAACAGTTACTGTGGCCAACCTGTAGTACTTGACAGGTATGTGTATATAGCTTATAACATGCTCTACCCAATCATATTTAAATGTTACCTCTAGCTATTTTCAAAGCTGTGATTAATTAGTAATTATTTAGTCCACATGGGATGGGAAGAAAAATTCTATAAAAAAAAAGAAATTTTGTAGCATTTTTAATTTCTCTTTGAATATTACACTAAATAAATATTACAAATTTACAACATATAGATTCTGAAAAATCACTGAAATGCAGTAGTAACAATTATTTTTTTTTAAATATTAAAATTTGATATGCTGCTGTACAGTTAACTAAACAGCTATACTACCAAAGTAGTTAGGTTTATAAGGTAGTTCATTTCAAATCTCATTACCTCAGGAAGAGTAGTCTGCATGTGAAGTCTGCTAAGCTCTCGACCTCTGATGCCACTCTTTTGTGGACCAGCTGATGGAACTCTTGCTAAATGAGAAAGGGATGCAGGAGGTCCAAATATTGTCCTGCTGGATGTAGGTCGTGAAGTTCGCGAAGATGAACCTTTATGGAATGTAATCATACTTGATCCAGGTCTAGTGCTGACTCCTGAATCTGGGCTGGATATGGCAAGAATTTACTTGAGACTTTCAATTACCAATTAAGTAGTGAATATATTTCCAATAAATTTTATTATTAAAATAATGATACAGTATTAGTACATGATCTGGATAAACCTCTGTAGTTAGCTCAGTTTTAAGAACTAGTACTTAAAGTAAATTATTATGATCAAATCACATTAATGTATATCTTGTTAAAACCTTATTTTTTATAATTAGTTCTATGTCATCAGATACATAGTTTTGGGGTCCACTGTAAAATGCTTTATGTTCATCTATTAAAAATTATAAGTGAAAGGGAAAAGGTTATAATCATGTATCTTTCACAATATTCCTCCAGGTATGTCTTACAAAAATTCATTTCCAATATATGGGTAAGTACATTATAACTAAAAAAAAGAATTCACAAATGCACAATCATCTTTAAAGAATAACCATCACTGCTTACTAAGTAGAACCTTTCAATGTTTAATTCTTATAAAAAAAAGTATTTTAATATAATCATTTTCCAAATATCTGTTAATATGTTAAAAATTAAAATGGTGAAGAAATAAAAAAAAAGGCCTAGAGCACATGATGAGGTACCACAATATTCTGCCACATGCATTAAGTCCTACTCAATTTTGAAACGTATTATAATGAGATTTTAATATCAAATAAGAACTAATTTTCTCAAGAAATTAATGCATTTTTGACACATTTTTTTTAAAGGTATTAACTTGTAATGTAAACACTGCCATTGTTAAGTACAGCAAGCTTGATTATACAGAGGGTTGAATATATCAAAACAATCTGGAGCATCACTATGTTGTTACAGTCCATGTTGCCACCTCAAGCTGTGCATCTTGCCAATAGCCCTGCAGTATAGTTTTCATTTCAAAAGGCTCTATTTAAGGCTGTCACATCTAATTCACACCACTCTTCCCTGCTTGCTTTACATAATCCATCCAGTGTAGAAGACAATGATTTCCCAGTGCCCTTTCAACAATCCAATCACAAAGAAATCTATAGATGCTGCTTCTAGTGACTTGAGCTGTATCTTTTCACATGGAATAGCATGAATACACATTTCATTCTTCATAGGTTAAATGGAATTATGACTAGAAGTCTTATCTTGGTAAGCCTATACCTATTGATCTCATTTCTGAACAAAGCTGATATTAATATGTAGTAGAAAGCATCCAGAACATTAGTGTAGTAATAATCAGTTTATCTTGAACTTTGTATCCACTATCTTGATCCCTAATTCATCAATGGTACAGTATCCAGCAATGATCATGATTGCCTTTGAAAAATATTTGCAACATGCTGTGTATCATTTTTGGAAATTTCTTTTCACCCATTGGTCTGTATGAAATAGCATGAGACATGTTACAGTTATCAATGTACACATACACTTTGTCATGTGTCACAAAGTACTATCATTGTTTCCCTGACTAGATATTGTTCATACCACTTTCTGCAGTTGGCCTTCCTTACCTGGATTTGTTGTGGAAGCAGCTTGTGTCACTTTTCTAGAGGGATATACTTTTTTTTTTATTATGTTGCGCTCTGTTACCTGGGTATGTGGACAACTTTTACATCCGACTTTTGTGTTTGTGGAGTAAGACCCTGCAATCTGGTTACCACAGATGTGATATGACAAGATATGATATTGCAAGTCTCTTTCTGGATGTTCTTGATGCCCATAGTTGATCAATGTTCATTTGCTTTCTAAATGCTATTAAGTACAAGGTATACCTCCATCTTGGAAATTCTAAATCACAGATTTAAACACATCATTATGATCTAAGTGTATGAATATTTTGTGAAAACATTTTATATACCCTTCCCCAAGAGTGATGTTTTTGGTGGCATCAAACTAACTACAAAAAGCCAAAGAATATCAAAATGTAGCACTGATACATAATGTTTCACAGTGACCTCAAATGTTATATATATAACATAACATACTCAAACTTGTGTGTTATCTAAGGCTTAGCCAAAACAAAAATTTCACAATATCTTGAAAAATAAAATCTTTGGAAAGTGAAAACTTTTCTTAAAATTATGAAGTTTAGATGAGTTATTTAATTAAATGAGAGAAATTGATTTAGTTAAGTACTTACCATAATGTTGTGGCAATCAGATAGAGATTATTGTCATTGTTAGTACTAGATGATCATGTAAATTTAATTACTAATTTGTTACTAATTGTTTATTATAATTATGGAAAATTAATTATTTGTAACTAGTACCTAACAGTATTAAACAAAGACATTAGCAATTAATTAGTAAATTAACTTTAGGTGACTGTATGAGCTACTACCCTTGACAATAACAGATTTACAAATAAACTTTCTGTCATTAACATGCTTTAGGAAATTGAAAAGTTAGGATAAGTACTGTTCAAAAACAGGAAACACCATTCATATATTACTTCATAAGTGATCTAATTGAAGTAGCCTTCTAATTAAAGTGACATAGTTGCAATGAGCTTCCATGTAAAGAAATACTTTTCTAGTCTTCTCTCAGTACTATCTTATATCAAAACAGATAGGTAATTGAAATTGAAAGACTGACAGTAAAATTTTAAGAAATAAAAGTTTGAAAAAAAGGCAGTTAAAATCGCCAAATCTGAGCTAAGTTGTAGAAATTAAAAAAAAAAACTTTCATATATTATTTTTAAATGCCCAAAAGTTTCAATATGCAACAATGTATTTGAAACTGTATGAGAAGTATAACTGCACTTAAACAATAAATCTTAAAAATATAGCATTTTTACGGATTGCCAATAAAACAAAATTTGTCCTTGGGCAGTATAAGATAAAGAAAAAAAGTTACAAATTATTGGTTAATTGATGAATCAGAGAAATATTTATGTTTAGAAGTTTTCTTTACTATTCTTACTTTAACACGCACATTTCTACATGATATAAAAATAGTGGAGGAGCAGAAAATGAGCATGTAGCAGTGAATAATAATCAAGTAATTACCAGCAAAAAGAAAAACGTTTCTCTTGTAATGTTATGTTTAATGTCTTCTCTCACTACCAAATATTCTATCATACTATGCAAGTTTCAAAGGACAGAAATACAGCAACCTATTAATTTCTCAATACTTTTCAGAAGAAATACAGCAGTACTACTATCAGTTAATTTTGTTAATGCTCAAAGAATACTGAGAAATTATGTGGTGCTTAAAATAAGATGTGATCTTAACCTTTTGCTTATGCTACCCTAAGGCTAATGAGGAGAAGGTGTTATCTTAAGAAATTGGTCTAGCCCAAAGGAGTGACAAAAAAAAACAACATGCCAAGCCTTTAACCTTTTTTTTTTACTTGCAAGTAAAGGTAAACATTAAAAAGTTTAAAATGCGATTAAGCCAAGCTTTGAAAACCATGTAGCATAATTCTTGTTTTAATTTGATTTTCCTATTGCTACACTTCATTTACTGTGAAGGTTGGTCCATAGCAAATGAATATTGTGGGGAAATAATTACTTTCACAAACTAAGAACAAATGTGAAAATAAGAACATGAAAATCATCTGCATTCATCATCTTTACACAACTGGTTTATATAGTGCAGTGTTTCTAAACAGTTACACTGTATTTCATTGTTACTGTAACCATTTGTTCTATGCAGGAGTAAAATTCTCAAAAATGAAAGTAGGGGGTACCCAGCTGGGTGAAGTGGACCTGTTATTGAAAAAGAAAAAAAATCTACATGTAAACATAAAGAACGACAATTAGAGTGTCAATGAATAAATACTTTTTTTTTATTACACCAAGAAAATATGCAAATAACAATGAATTAATGTGACAAGGAGAAAGTATAAAATAGCCTTGTAAGTTACTCCTGGGGATGACGTAGATCACGTTGAAACATGTACTTGTAGAGTGATATTTCAATAAAGTTTTTATTGTGTAAATACAAAACGTTGTTTTTAATTATTTATTATAATTTAAAAAAAAGAAGAAATGCTTTCTGATGGAATAATTGAATGCACGCGTATCCAAAAAAGCAGCTCAAATAAGTCCTGGTACTTGTACCTCCTTAAACAATATGTTCCAGTACTCAGTACCAGTGAGTACCAGCAGAATTTCACTCCTGGGTCTATGATAGCAATATATATATATATATATATAAGAAACACAAGTGTCAAAAAAAGAAAACTGGAAAACTCAATTGGAACTATAAGTGCATATGATATCAAATATAAGGATGTGTGTATACAAAACAACACAAATATTTAAAAACTATATTATATACAACTAAGATAATGAAGTCAAGTCATATAACCTGATGTACCTTAATAAAAGAAGTTTAAAACAACCTTTTAGTGTAAATTCTAAGAACTAAAGAAAAGTAAACTGCTACTTTGAAGGAAAAATTCAATTTTTTCATTTGTTTAACTCTCTCTACATGGGTCCAGCTCAATCATTTTGACCAATTTTGCAACAACAGGTAAACACGATAATTCACATAACTTTTGATGCAGTAAGTGTATCTTCATGAAATTTAGCATGCTTCAAGAAAACATTACAAGTCTTCTGTACACAAAAAATTCAGAATTTTTAATTAAGTATTTATACTAAAGATTTGTCTGTGAATATATGTAGTCAGTTTGATTCAGATTCTGATTAGTCTGAGTGCAAGGTGAATTTTATGTTAAGTAAAAAAAAAACTTTTTTTTTTTTTTCTTTTCCTCTCAGCTTTCAAATTTCATTTGCATAACCTCTAATGCCTCCAAAATGAAAACGTAAAAGATTTTTCAGTAAAACTTTATATTTGATTTGTTATTTTCTCTAGACTACCCTAACACAATATAGACTTGGCTGATTTGACTGACCTAGTAACCACCAGGAAAAAAAAGAACGAAATCTGAATTACCTTTTATTCTTTCTAATGACAATTATTTATCCTAAACAGTTTAAGGCTCAGGACAGTTTACATCTGTCTTTATTTAAATTTAATATTTTATTGCTCTCTGAACTGTTTAAATAATAATCCTGCTATACAAGCTGTAAATTACATTGGCAAATGCACAGCTCAAGTTGCAGTATTGAATGATTTAACGCACGATCTACTTGTGAACATACCTTGTGGAGAAAAGTTTTTTTGTTTTTTTTTATTATTATCTAACCTAATAAGTTTCTCATTTTTATACTTCAGATACTTTTAAAACAATAAATAAAAAATATGCATAAAAAAACAAGAAATTTAGTACTTATGTTTGGCCTCTTTGTTTTTTGTTGTTGTTGGCCCATCAATGAAACTTAAGCCTACTTTCCTGTAATGATGGTACTAGTATATCAAATAATTATCTATTTCAAATATGCACTTAAAAACACACATTAATAATATGCACAAAGTAAACTATGCCCTATAATTACAATAATATAACTGACTTTCTATCTGTTTTAAAATAATTTCCTTAAATGTTCCATCTGAACATGGTTATAGCAGCTTTGAATGTGTAAGTGAAACATCTAAAAATCTATACCGAGAACAAAGAATCATTTCATGTAGTTCAGAAAATTAAAATCTTGTCTTTCTATTGCTTATAAGTGATGCAATAGCAAATGTAAGAAAATATTACTGGAAATTTGTGAAAAGGGGATATAACAAGAGGGCATATGGCAAGTGAGTTTGACTTTCTGGCTTATATCTCCATACACAAAGGAGAATGAAGACTATAAAAATTAGACAATGTCTTAGTAATATTGATACTGTAATAGGAAATTTATGTTAAACTCAGGATATCACAGAGGGGTGATGAAAAAATAAAAAAAGGGTAAGTCAGACCAGGCAAGAGGAGATTGAAAATTGATTTAAATATTTCCTTTTGAAACTAAGAAATGAAAACTTGTATAACATTAAAATTTGATTTATTAACTATGTTTTGATACCAAGTTTAATTGTATACATTGATAATAAAGTAGTTTAATTAAGTTTTGAAAAAAACTGTAAAAAGTTGTGACATGCACACTTTCATCTACTTGTATCAAGAGGGTTAACACTTGTAATTTTTAACCTATCTCAGGTTTTATTGTACTGTTGATATAGGTACATGACCTCTATAGAGACTAGAATGTCAACCACATGAGAAAAGTTTTACTTTTTACACCTACTGTTTCAGTTACAATACTCTGTTTTAATTTTATATTTATGATTCTAGTTCATTAGGACCGGCTACCTTCTCACAACTGAATGATAGTTTCAGATATTAAACATTGGGGTCTTGAATGCCCATATTTACTGTTAGTTTGTTTTCCTAATCTTTAACATATAAACCTTGCAAACAGAGGTTAAATTTACAGACAGCATATCAACTTTACTGTAAGGGCCCTACTTCTACAGATACCTATCTTATTGAAGTACATTTTACCTTTCCTGCATTCTTAGTTTGTAACATAATTTTATTTGTCTGTCTCTTCTGCTGCCTTTTGTTTTTATGTGTATAAGTCAATATTTTAAACTCCCTTATGATTATGAATTTTTATGTAAGGTATTTACATAATAATGAAAAATCAGCATTCGGGCCTAATAACCTATATGTTATTTAAAACAGAGTTGAATCCTGCCTGGATTCAGTTTTCACTTCTTCAGAAAATTTTTCAATTGCATAGACAAAGTACCAAATTTAAACTTTTGTAATTAAATTCTTTAAATTTGACACTTTTAATAAAAAATTAAATTAACTGGATTCTGAAATGAAAACTGACAACTGCAATGCTCAAGATGCAGTGGCTTAGTTGGCTAAGTCACAAATTCAAGTTCTTCCTGATTATAGTTTTCACTTCTTCATAAAAATTTATGATTTCATAACAGAAATTCCACAATTTAAATTATATTTAGCTGAAAGATAACAAACAAGTAAATAGGAAGGAAATGATAGTAAAGACAGTAAGCAAATATTATACCTGAATTTATGATCTGCTCTAGTTTGTAAGATTTTGGATGATACTGTCAATACCCCGTCCAATAGATCCACAGGAACACCACGACCTGTTTGAGCTGTTAAAGGACGCTGCTGCTTGTCAACAGGAGACATCACAGGTGGCAGATATTTTGGAGGATAAGCATCTGTTAAAAAAAAAAATTCAAAAAGTACCCGAACAGCTCCATCCAATCATAACATAAATGTAAACTCTCTGTATATATAAAATGAAATACTGTATATGATGTGCTCAAACTCATTTAAACTGAAAACATATGTGCTAAAATTTAAGTGATGTCATGTCTAAATTGTTTAGAATGTTCAGTGCAGCCTACACAGTAGTTTTAATAATGCACTGCGATCATGATGCTATAAACACATTTCTCACAAGTCCTATCTTAGAGTGTTAAGTGATTATTTGTAATTTATGTACTAGTTTTGGCTAACATCATAAACCTAAAGTATACTTTTTTTTTTAGAAGTGTAATTATAGCATGTACAGAAGCTGATAACTTACATGAAAGTTAATTCATAACTAAGTGTTTCATAAGATTACTCACTGTATTCCAACAGCATTAAGGTCTGGAATATTTCATACCTTTAGAATGAACACTAGGAGTATTCTGGTAAAGTTATAAAGTTTTTTTTTTTTGGCTGAAGTGTTTTTCTGTTAAACAAATGTAAAAGAAAAGTTAGTCTTACCTCCCTTCCATTATAAAACATGTACATTAGAGAAGAAGAAAAGCACATAATGCAAGGAATAATTTGTCCAGTATTTTATAACACTTAACAATACAAGTCAGCCTTACTTGCGATTCAATCTTGCGCTCGCATAGCACAAACTGCCATGTAATTTCTATGATGGCAAACATACCACCTTATACCAAAAATTGAAAGTACTTCAAATAAAACTATTCAAAGTCATTTTTAAGATATAGAATCCTAATTTCTGCTACGTTTGCTGTGATTAACATTCTACAACTAGCTTTTGTTGTCACTGCAGGCTGCATGTCCTGCCCCCTTGTTTGTAGCTTGTGAAATACAGCACATGATTGATTTCTTTCTTAGAATCGCAAGACATTTTAGCATAACTAATACTTCTTACATGTATTGAATAAATATTTCTTTTTATACTGATTTACTGCACGAGTAAGTTCTTCATTTGAAGAAATTACATTGCCAACGTACAAAATATTGTTTTTACCAGTGGCAACTATGTTACGATGTATTCTGAAAGAGCACACACACTCATGAATGCCAAATATTGGTATTTATCATATGCAATACAAACTGCCATAAAAAATTTAAAAGAAGAAAAGGTTTAAGGACACATAACTATAGCCACTGCCTACTAAGTATAGTATCAAAATATTTACCACAGAAATTAGTATTTTCAACGTTTTTTCTCAAGATTCAAACAAATTCATTCAATATTTTTTTTTATACGTTACATATACCCGATAAAGCATGATATTCATATGCTGGTGCAGTGATATACACATTTTTCCAAATGCTACTGCTGATATACAATTTTGTTGAAACAAGTTATCCCCTGTAATGTACCTTTGCTTATGAAATATATTAATTTTCATATCACCCATGTGATGCTGGAGGTGCACCACTGCAAGAACATATAAAAATTATAATTATATTTCACTTATTTAACTGAATGTGCACAAGGTCAGTCCATTGGACAGTCTCTCCATATTTGAGAAACAAATTGACTATAATTACAAACTTACTAAATGTAATTTATGAAATGTGGCAAGCTTTTAGTAAACATTACACAAAATCAAATGTATTAATAAAATATTGGTAATAAAGTCAGAGTGAAAGGGGATGTTCATGAGAAGAATAAAAATACTTTTGTCCATCCCAAAGTTTGCATACTGCATTTGTACAGCCTCTAGAACCTCCTAAATGCATATCTATTTTGTCAGTATCCTCATATACTACATCTGGTATTTTCTTTAACATGAACTGTTAACAAAATCACAAAAGTAGAGTAACATGAAACATTCAAAACACAGAAATCAAATATGTAATATGTTGAATGGCACTGTGTACAAGACTGAGACATGCACACTTTGACCCCCCTTCCAATGCTCATAGGATTAATAGATGTTTTGTGGATCTTAATAACAAATGACAGGTAACTTTATATGCATTTTGTAAGTAATAACCTATTCCTTTTTTCATGGTTAGTTTTACTAAATATTACTTATTAATTTTTTTAATATTAAAATTACAAAGATTATTTTGTATGGTTAGCTTACTATATTAGTTTAGGACAAACTTAAATCTCTCAAGTTAGCCAAATGATTCAGTGTATCTTAATCAAAGAAGGATTTAGTTTATAATATATAGTGTATTTATTTATGTTGTTATATATTTATATTATATTTGTTATACAATATTGTCATGATTAATTTGTTACTTTTAAATTATTTCAGTTTTGATCTATGCAGTATTTTTTTTATCAGAAGTTCTTAATAATAGTCTTCAGACAGAAAAAAGTCTCACAGAAAAACCAGAAATTTAAATTTGCCAAAAAAAAATAATCAGGATTTTTATAAGAATGGGGGGAAACGTATGCGGTCTAATGCTTTATTTTCCTGTATATTTCTCCAAAAATGAGTATCAAAAAACAAATCAGTTATTACACTCCCTTGAATTACTAAAACATACAGCTTTGTCTAGAAGAACAATTATGGTCAAGTGACTGAATTTAACACTGTATGAAAAACAAAATCAGCTGATAGAGTTCTAATAACCTACAAGTAAAGCAAATTGTTCGATATTAAATGTAAATCCTCAAAAGGTATGCAAAGTTTTTCCCCCTTATAGCCAATGAGCTAGTGTCATACAAGCTGCATGCATCCAGTCTTATTTATGCATTCCAGATAACAAAAGTAAAATTTAAAAAAAAATGTAAAGACAGAACAGGTATATTTAACTTAGCCTAAATAAAAGAATTGAAGAATGATTTGAGAAACTTGAAAATGGATTTCCAATACTATATGAACAAGTTTTAAAGTTCTCGTTAAGGAAAAATGCTGTTTTATTAATATTGTTTCATGTTAACTATTAACCTCTTCCACATGGGTCACGGGTCAAAGGCCATGTCATTGTGTTTGTTGACTCGCATT